TCCAGGGAAAGAAGGTCACGTTCGATTAGCTTGCATTTGCATATTGTCTTTTACGGATGAAAATAACCTGCGAAAGGAATTTTTGGAATTGTTGATGTACATATAGCATTGTTGATATGTCCAAAATAGGTATCATGCGTTAAATGCGAGGCTAATAGCCCGCTCAAGCTGTCGTATTACAATCTCGCCATTGGAAATTGCCTTGCCTGTCATCACAGACATAGCACACCCGTCTTCAGTAGCTTATACCCATTATTCGCCCATGAACTGCATCCACCTCGTATCCGGTGGACATCCTTGGGACGCCTTCATGTCACTCCCAAGGCCCTGTTGAGGGTCAGTCTCAAAGCAAGGAATGGCAGTAAACTCGCCCAGTTCCTGCGGAAAGTTAGAGACAAAGTGGTCGAACCCCAAAGGCGGCATTTGGGAGAACGCATGGGGCGCGGAAAAGTCCGAAGAGCCGGCAAGATCTGTGCTGGCAACATCGCCTTCCATGGCGTCGTTGCCTGCATCCGTGCCGGTCATCGGTGTGACAGGTACAGCGGGGATCCCTGTTCCGGGCCGCGCCGGAGTATACTGTTCAGGGAACGTGACCGTTGTCCCTGGCGAGATCGGTCCGGTCTTCCATAGCATCTCCCAGTTCTTGAAGCGATCGTAGGCGGACTCGACGATACCGGCGTTTCTTTGAGCCTGTGTTTCGCTCCACTCTTCGAGACGGCGGATGGCCCGCTCGAGTGCCTCGATCACGCTGACGGCGGACCTCGCCGAGCCCACTCCCATCGACATGATTTTGATCAGGGCCATGCCTTTTTCTAGCGCTTCGCGCAGCCTCTCTGTCCGCTTGGTCAAGCTCTGGGCTAGGATGACCAGTAGCGCGGCGCGGCAGGAGCTGAATTCGGTGAAGGATGCTCGGGCAAGACCGGTTTCATCACGGAGCAGCCGACAGAGATCGATGATCTCGAGTGCCGCCTCGACGCAGTCAGTGACCAGCGTTGACCAGTTTTTCGAAAGTCCGGATGTTGCCTTGAATGGTGGACCTTGAAATCCGGCTGGGTTGGTGGACTTCATGTTGCTGAATAGGAAGGGTCGCCCAATGAAGATTCTCGTTAAGCAGTAGTCCAGTTTCAAGTGTACATTCGAACGGAATAGGGGCCCGGAGGGGTTCAAGTCTCGACAATGGGTCTCCTCTGGTAAAGTAGCCCACCAGTCCAGCAGACTTTTTCTCAGACTGAGTAACCGCTCAAGACAATCCTGCTGTTGACCTTTCCGAGATTTCCGCAACACAGATCTGCTAATGTCAGCGCTCGTCTCAATGATCAGAAATCAGTGATACGTACATCTCGTCTGATACTTCACCCAGTTTCAGAGTCAACTTGATCAATGTTACCATGTTAGTGTGGTTGGACACTTGACCCGTGGGCATCAGACCGGGAAAGTCGACCGGCATCGCGGCGTCAACGTCCGCATCCGATAAAGAGACCGGTCTTCCGTGAAGGATACTAACGCGCCTGTTTCGATGAGCATATGGCGGCTAACCTGATGAAGGGAAATAACCTACTTCTCTATGGTGTACGCCGTCCAAAAGACGCGGTTGCGGACCTCGATCATCCGCGGACTGAGTCCCTCGCCCTGATACTTCCGGTGCATACCGTTCTGAATCGCCATCTTCAGCGCTAAACCAAAGTACGTATAGCAGAGTCCGGATGTGTCGAGAGGTAGTAGATATGTCCCTATCAGCAGACAGGCTTGAACACTTCGAACCGAGGCAGTGGCGATGATATCAGGAAGCAATTTCGACGCAAACTGATAAAAGGTGAGCCCAACCTCGTCTTCCGAAAAGTTGTGGTCATAGTTAATCGATGAGTCCGCCGATAGTCGATTGACAGGAGTGGCAGACTCCATGTGAGCAAACTGAGTCCCAACCGCCAGGACCATGAGAATCGAGCAAACTGAGCCAGCATCGTCGGATGAGAGGCTCGATGGGTTTGTATAACATGTGTGCATTTTTTCCAGTAGCCAGTCCTCTTCCACGTAGAAGTTATTTGTCTGGGCGTACTTGAAGAAGATTTGAACCAGAAAATCTGCCACATAACGAGGCGGCAGACAGGTGATGGCTGCCGAGACCATGGAAGAGCCTGACTGTAGCTGAGTCGCCCGCCATCTCTCCTCAAATGGTTCCGCTTCGGTAGATGCCTGAACAATCAGCAAAGTGAGACCGTAGATAATGCCGATACATACCTCCGGTGCCGCAGCTTTCATCCATTCATCAATCTTTTTCCGAATCTTCATCGAGAAGTTCAAATATGAAAACTCTCCCGAGTATTCTATGCAACGATCAGTCACCTCTGTAACAAATCAAAGGGAAGCCCTATACATACGTGTCGTATTATCAGGCAAAGCCTTGATCATAAAATCCTCATCTTCAATCGCAAGATCCTCAAGGTCCTCGCCCTCAACACGAGTCGAGGGAACATCAGACTCGGAGCCTCGGTGCTTACTCTTCAACTCCTCAGCGGCCTTTCGCAGCGATGGAATGTCAAAGGAGATGTTGGGCACATAGTACTCTAGAATGCGCTCCATGAGTCGGATCCGCTCCCCTTCAGCAATATCGTGACGGCTGAGGCCAGCGGTGCGCTCCAGAAGGCTGACGTACATGATGAGTTTGCGGACAACAACAAAAAGATCGTAATGTCTCAGGATAATCAAACTTACGAGACTGACGATGAGCGAGCAAGTTTCTCTGCATGATCGGGGTGAGTAAAGACACACTGTCGCCGATAGCGCAGACACCGCCGACAGGGCACGCCTCCCTCGCACTTCTCCTTGACTCGACGACAACCATCGCATCTGCGAAAGTCAATTATCGGGAATCTCTCAAAATGCAGTAACGAACAAAATGTAGCATTATGGGGGTCATAAAAAGCGGTACTTACGCTCTCACAGCTCTTTTGCGGTTTTCCTCCGAAACGCGGGGACGTTTTGGATTCCCCAGAGATGCCGGGGTAGAAACATCCATGACAGTCTTGAAATTATGAGATCAAGGAGGATGATGGATAAGCATTGTCTTTCCCTCAGGAGCAAATACGTATGAAAGGCAGATTGTAGTTTACTTCCACCAGTCCAAGTTGAGGTCAAACCGAGTGCTTTAGTTGGGGGGGGAAAAGCCGATCCGCCGGGGCGGTGTCTGCTGGTTCTCTCCGGCAGTGGGGAAATTATTAAGGTCTTGTGCTCCCGGCTGATAGAGACGTAGATAAACCTGATAAGCAAATGCGCAATTCCCCACACATCAATGTAGTGCTGCATTAGCACAGGGTATGAGACTGTACAGCCTCATTATTATGGTCATGATCGTACCTGAGCAAGAAGAAGGTATATTTATGCTTTAACACATTGATATCAATGACTGCTCGAGGGAGATGGGATTGTCGCCTGATTCGTGCCTCAGGCACAACCTGTATATATACCGAACCATATACCTTATACTGCTACTCATCCACGTTCAGTCAGAAGAAAATACATCTCAAAGAACATCAGAAACCATCCACATTCATCCCCAAACCCTGCTCAACACCAATATCCAACAGCTTCTTCCCAATCACCAAATCCATAATCCCCATACCCACGCACTTGAAAACCACATTACACCCCTCCGGCACCACAACCGGCTCCGACTTCCCCAATCTCCCAAACAACTCGCCAATCTCAACCAACTGCTCCCCTCCTACCTGCGCCTTGATCAACTCCCCAGATTCCTCAAGACAAGCCTCCCGAGAATCAACATAGATCTGCCCACCACCCGAGAGGATGGTCTCGGCGTCAACCTCACACATATGCGGCTTATACGACCCAATCAGCGAAATAAACCGCTGCTTAGACGCAGACGCAGACGCAGACGCAGACGAAAGATACTTGTAGGGAAAATTCGGCTCCGTAGACGGCGTACAGCTAAAAATGACATCGCACGAGGCGACCTCCGCGCGCAGCCGTGCCTCATACTCCGCATCGTCAGTCCCCCCCCTAGCCAGCGTTTCGAATACAACGTTCGGATGAGAACTTCTCAGCTCCGTGATCGCCTCCCTCTCCAGCTCCTCCAGCCGCCTGCGGCCCCGGTTAATGAAGGTGATTCGCTGCACCAGGCTTGGAACAAGCAGCAGCGCCAGCCGAGCGTGCCACTCTGCTTGGCGTCCCGAGCCGAAAATCAAGATGTGTTCCTTGGGGATAGAAGTGCAGCGCGTAAACAGCGTCATGGTTGCGAGGGCGGTGCGAAAGGCTGTGACTTCTGCGGCGCTGAGCAGGCCGAGGAGGCGGCCCTCCGGCGAGAAGATGTTGATCACGCCGATGATGCCTTCGCGCTGGGAGGCCGTGACGATCTTGATGCTTGTGCTGGCTGTGTTGGAGACGGGCATGAAGAGCGATAGGTTCTGGTCTTTGGTGGCGATGGTGGTGCGGAGGGGTTGGTGGATGAGACGCTCCCCTTCTGGTTTTGTGGTCTCTGATGAGACGGTTACCAGCGCTTCGCTCAGAGCGTCGAGTAAGATGTGGCATTGTTCTGGAGTTAGGTTTCTCAGAATGCGAGAGACGTCTGGTTCGGAGAGAAGATGCATCTTGGGCCTTGGGATGAAAATAATGTATTCTGCAACCGCAGGAAGCTGTGTTTTCTTGCTACTATAAAAGTCACTTGTATTAGTAGACCCTCATTTATCGAGTCACCACCACTGATATCATACGGCGATGTCGGAGGTGGAGTTAAGCTGCGCTGGGATTAGCTGCAGGTCGGAAGAAGTCCAGATAGTGGCCGGTCCTAACCGAGTATCTAACCAATTCCCCTTTAAATGGGATATTGATGCTCAACCTGGTCACTACGAGTACATCCGACCCCGGGGTCTTCCTCAAACGATCAAGAAGCATTCATAGAGGTAAGATTGCAGACCGAGTCTAATAAAACATGAAAAATGCTAAGGTCGTCTATATCAACAGCGATGAATTATCCACTTGCAAGCTTACAATTTCAGCAGGTACAGGAACCAATCTGTATCAATATCCAGCCACGGGCTCTTCAGGAGTATATTTCGCACAGTGGTCCGGTGTTGGTGCTGTTGCTCAGGACTTTTCTCACTGTTCTCATACCAGTCTTTTGCTCGACGCAGGTGTTTTTCGGCGAGAACGGCCAACGCCAGTGGGTACAGTAGGGCCTGGATGTCCCGTGGTGGTGAGTGGCCAGTCTGTTGAAGCATCGTTACCGACGTGCCCCAATCTTCCGAGGCGATAGCCTGCATCCACGATTGCCACCAGGTAAACCGCCAGGGGAAAGTCGTGTCTAATCCATTGTCCACGTGAAGGATCATTTTCGCAAGCTTGGATCCCAGCCAGGGATTGTTTCGAATGGCCACATATATGGGAAAATTCCCGGCCGCATCGGGGATCAATGGATTTGCTCCGCGACTGAGAAGGAATGCCAGCACCGTGTAGACGTCGTCTACAAGCTGCCTTTTCTCCAAGAGCAGCATCAGAGGTGATTGCTGAGCCGTGTTGAGGTGATTGACATCCGCTCCCCTTTCCACCACGATCTGGAGTAATTCGTAAATTGAAGGATCATAGTACCAAGCACCCAGGAATCTAATAAGCTGATGGACACACGTCTCGCCTATGCTGTTGACTCTCGCGACATCTAATTTCTTACATATCAAGGTGGCAAGCCGGGTGTCACATTTCTGGGAGGTAGAGCGAGTCTTATAGCAATAGTGCAAGAAGTATGTCAGTAGACGCTGAGAGTTCGGTCCAATCGTCACATCCGGATCAGCACCATTGCCTAGAAAACTCCTGAACAATGCGTTGAGGTGACTGTTAACGTCAGCCCAAGCATTGTATGAATTTGCGAGGAAGAGCTTGAACAGAGATGTTCGCTCCTCCGGTGTGAGATCGGCGGCCCTGGTTGTCAGCATCTTGTCAACATGGCGTCCATGATCCCAGCTCATGGTCGGTGAGACGAGGTCCACTGCCTTTTGTATCGGAGTCACACCAAGGTTGTTGGGGATATAAGGATTGGCTCCGGCCCCCAGAAGATGAGTCACAATGCTCCTTTGATGATCATGGTTTAAGCTTCTTGCTGAAATGGCCAGATGCAGAGGGGTATTTCCGTCCGCATTTCGATGGTCAAGCGTGAGTCGAGCAAGATCTTGCTTCACCATGGGCTCGATTTTTCCCACGCGATAGCCGAGTAGGGATTTGACAATCTTCTCGTCCTGATGGTCAGCAGTGTAATGCAATGGCAGGTTGCCCTTCCGATCTGGGACATCAATTGGTGCCCCTCGGCTCAGCAAGGCTTTCACCTCATCTACTTGTTCGTTCATGACTGCTTGATGGAGCTTCGTGTAGGCCAATTCCTCTTCCAAGTTCGAGAAGAAGTTGGCAAAAGTCTGGTCAATCATAGATAGGGGCTCTCCGATCTCAGGATGGCCAGAGACATGGGCCCCAGGACTAGTGGGGTATGCCACGGTTGTACTCGGTGCGAAAGAGACGAGGTGGTTAGCCTGCGAGTGGCTGGAAGTGGAGCCTTCTATGAGCATGTTGCCCTAAGTCGAGGACGTCTACTGGATTCTCACCTCGGACGTGCGTGATCGCTGAGCGGTGATAATGTAGTATCATCGTCATCAACCGGCATCCCTTGGTCGATTGGCAATCCCCGTGGCAATGTACCAATGTTTCCAGCCCGTCTCCTAGTCTTTCTAAAGCCCCAACGCTTGAAACAGTTCTTGTACGACCGTCTTCTGCTCTCTTGTCAGCCGCGGAATATTGACCTGAGAGGCATCCACTGTACTTACGACTTGTGAAATCCCCGTCTCTGCATCTCCAACATCACCTCGGTACAGGTCAGATCTTGCTCCAGGTAGAGCTGTCTGATATCGTCCTTGACCTCCTCCCAGCCTCTTGTCATGGCCGGCAAGTGTCGACAGACTCAAGACTCCAATAAAAAAGAAGGGAAAGAGAAGGACAACGACCAGACAAGGGCTCAAAGCTCGTAGCTAAACTGCCAAACGCCGTGCGGCGTGTACCTTCTCAAAAGACGACTCGAAACACGAAACAAGAGGAGAGATACCGCAGAGGACAAACATGACCGGAAAGAATAAGTAGTATAACTGATAATTTCAGGGAGGGAGCAGCCGCAATAAATGAGAAATTCGATGGCCTCATTCCGTTCATTCAGGCCCTCGTCCGACGACACATCCTCCTAGTCAACAATTGAAGGGCGCTTCTTTTAAAGGGCAGCACAGCCTGATGCCTGCATTATCCTCCCCAGTACTCCCAATTTTTATTCTCATCTTCGTGATGAGATCACCAATTGGGCAGTAAGTTTTGAGATTTGTCTTTCAATTAATCAAATTAATCAATGTTCGGCTTCCAGATAGTGTTCCCCGCGGTGCAGAAGTACTGTGTCGTAATCGAAAAAGGGCAGGCTTCCATAACGATGGAATAAGGCGTCGACTGTCGATGGCGGCAGATGACTAGTTCTTTTTCCGGGAGGGGAACAGAAGTACCCTGCAGTCTCAGCTGTGATCCTTTTGAATAATAATGATAATACTCCGTAATTAGTGGAGAACGGGGCCAGGGTCCAGAAGCCCGGGTGAGGCAGAAGACAAACGTACCATACTTATGCTGGCGGTGTAGCGTGTGAGAGTGTATCAGGCTGTGACAAAACTGAGAGAAAGTACGTAGAGGAGTGGTCCGTGCCGACAAGGGTATGACAGAAGGATGGAAAAGGGGCAATCTCGGATGGTCAGGATGCGTTGGCAAACACTGACGGCGGTTGCGGCGATGATGGACATGGGTCTCTGCGAGAGTTCAGAAGGGCAATTCCCCTAGGCAAAAATACCTTGCCCTCCAGGTGAGTACTCTGTCATTTGCATATCCTTTCTGGTCCTAATTTTCTTTTTTCAGTTTTATTTCCTTGATTCTTCCCTGGTCATCATGCATCCATAGGCGCTTGACGTATTGCTGGGATCCTTCCTATGATGGGTTGCCCTAATTATGGAGAGGAGAAAGGTACCATCGTCGGGCGGTTCGTTTACGCCGGAGAGTGCAGAAAGTGATCCCTTTCTTTTTTTATTTTCTTTCTAAGAAATCGTTATCATTAATCGATGAAACAAGCTAAAGATAAACCACTAACGCCATCTAAATGCATTTTCGCCAGCACGACATCACAGGATCACGCAAAAGAAAAATATGCATAACAGCATGCAAGAGAAATTGCAGCCAACCGCAGTATGGTATCAGGAGTACGAAAGAAAACTCAACAGGATGACGATCAGTTTCTTAGACGGAAAGCCTGGCGAGCTCTGCGCTTGAGTTCAGCAAACATGGCCTCCTGCGACTGCTTGGTGCGCCCGACGGCCTCGGTGTTCTCGACGGCCCGTCTGAGCAGGAATCCCATGCATTCCTTGACGGATCCCCAGGTGAGAAGCTTGTACACGTTAGGCGATTCCACGAACGAGTTCTTGCCAGTGGGCTCGGAGCTCTGGAAGCCTTCCAACAGCTCACAGCTGACTTCGTCCGCCATACCTTGGAGCTGAGCGTACGAGAGATCCACGCTCTTGTCCTCACCCTTGCTTGCTTGCTGGAGACGCAGCGCGTGTGCCTTGCGGACAGAATCACGGTTGTGTGTGGCGATGATAACGTTAACGGGGGGTAGTTCGGTCGTGTGTTCCACGGACGCGGGCTTGAGCATGGAGTTGTACTGTCTGGTGAGAAGGGCTTCAACAATGCCGTCGTAGCAAGCGTCGGTTTCCTCCTTTGTTGACCAGATCAAATGGCGAGGCTCGGTCTTGAGGTAGGCGCCACGGACCAGCTTCACACCAAGCGTGTAGCCTTCTTGACGGGCGATCTCCAGGTGCTTGGCGAGAGTGGCGGGGGTCGAACACAAATAGGCCTGGTAGGTGTTGTAGAAGATGGCACGGCCAGGTGTCTGCGAATTGCAGTACTTCTGGTACTTCATGGTCCAGTTCTCGATTCCGGGCTGCACTGCCTGCTCCTCGGCATCGACGAGCAAGCGAACGTTACGGGAAATAGCCAAGTCACAAACTCGCTGAATAGCTTCGTCCATAAATGGAGAGGGGGCGGCCTTCTTCTGCAAGAGGTCCAACGCTTGGACACCCATACCAGTGAATCTATGACAGTCAGTTGATCAGCTCAAATTATTTTTAGAAGAGACTCAATATGAGAACACCTACTTCAGAGCGACGAAATCGCCTTCCTGTGCCATATCCACGGTCTGCAGAGTTCCGTCCAACCACATTTGAACCTCTTCGCGAGCGGCCTTTTCATCACGAGGGCTGACGTTGCTCTCACCAACCAAGACCTCCTTGGCGTAACCCAGAAGGACGCCTCGGTAGCCGAGATCCTTGATAGCGCGAATGGACTGTTGGACTTCCGGCTTGTTTTCTCCCGCGTTAAACTGCTTGTAGATGGTGTGCTTGACGAGCATGTTCAGCAGAGGGTTTTTGGCAACGTCGAGAAGAGGCGTTTTGGGATGCGCCAACATTGAAAGGGTATAGATGCATGGCTTCAGTAAAAGTGAGGATGAAGAAACAGAGAGGATCATCAAGGACCGCAGGACAGAGGAGAGAGGCAGTTTTGCGAGCGGCGAGGTTGCCTCCTTCTTGGGGGATGGAGAAACTTGATGCAACAGGCTAGTAGCCGGTGTCGCTGCGATGGATGATTTCGCATTGCTCGTGCCGCTGACATATCGGGGAGTAGGATAAGTCGTGGGCATGCAAGACAGAGCCCGCAAAGGACGGCGGGATGCCTTCATTGTTGTGGTTGATAAGGTGGCGGGACTTGAGCGATAAACCCTAGGATGAGCGATAAGTATGCTGAGGTATTGATGGATGAAAATCAAGTAGTTGGAATAAGGATGAGGATGTTGATGAGTTTAGTAGTCGTGATACTGAGGAAATAATAGACAAGTTATTATCCTTAAAGACTCTACTTGGTGCTGAAAGAAGTGACAGTACAGCCGGTGGAAACCGCCTGAAAGCCGGGACGGTCAGTAATATTATTCCTTAGAAAAGAGGACATGCAGAGTGGCGCGTCTTCCAGCGGCAGTGATACAAGATTGATAATAACTTGGATCCACCCATAGAACAGGATCGACCACTAGTCCTGTATGCCCTTGATTAAGTTACCACTACGACGGAATGACGGTTAAGCTTGATTTCCTGTTTGATATTGACTGTTCTACTATAGGATATGATAACCATAAAGAGTGACGACTTAAGCATGTGTAAATCTGTATTTGGGACAAGCAGCAAGCCTCAGTTTGTGTCAGTGGCCAATGTCGACAAGCTGACATCAAGCAACCAAAGACTCAATCCAATCTGGGAATGATAATCAATCTTAGGACAACCGGTTCGCGGGCCGGCCACTGTGTCTCCACATTAAACAGGCCGCTTGACCGGGCCGGTCACTTTTGCTGGAATGCGAACGAACACGTGACCGTGAGCAGGTGACCTAATCTGGCTTGACTAAGGTAAGGTAATTTAAGATTGTGATCACTTTGTGCAACCCAATTTACAAAATAATCGAGTAGTCGTCCTACCTCATCCTGCGACTTTTTCTCCGTCAGTCGCGTGACTTGATGCGTGAACTGGAACATGCCGAGAATAGAGGCCGATGTTAGCCGGTTCTCATTCCTTGGTTCCTGGCCTAAGGCAGACACAGCTTCCTGGCGTGGAAACCAATCGAATATGGCTTAGCGCAACTCGAGTCGATCAAAATATATGATCACGTGCCTCGGATCAGCCAATGAGCATACTGGGATATAGATCCTGATGGTCAAGCTTTTCTAGGACGAAGATTCTTGACTGGGAAAGTTGTGCAGACCCTTTGAAGGCCGAGAAATGACCGTCAGTTCTCGTTATTAACAGCATTACCATTGTGGATATTTGCCGGTTTCTGGTCGTTCGAGGCTTCCAGGGCTCCAGGCTTTCCAGTGTCTCCATTCTTTGCGGAGAAATCACCAACCATTCTGAGATGTCGACTGGAAAGAACACTTCTTCTTTCTGCGCCAACTTTCCATGTTGATGATCACCTCAGCTTCTTTAGCGTGGCAGCCACACTGTCACGAACCTTGAGCCGTCAACCCCACAATTCTCGCTCGATATCTTTCCAGGCCAATAATGCTGGGCTCTGGAAGCCTCATCCGAATACCCTTAAAGTCAATTGTAATATCATCTCTTGCAAAACAAGGATAAGCGTTGCATTCGTGAATGTCAAATGTAAGACCAGGGGTATTGGCTCTCCCCGTGAACGGGCTTTTGTCCCTCGTTTCCTGTAGGGTTTGTTTTAAAATGTTGCCAGCTACCAATTTGACTTTCTCTGCAGGCAGCCCTCGTAGTTATCTCTGCTTGCGTGACTTCAGAATGAGTCCTCCATCGCCCAAGGGCCTCTAGCCGCTAGAGACTAGAATTGAAAGGTCTCCCTTGGTAGATATGACTACGTGGATTCAACACGGATACGCAACGAGGCTTGTCATCAAGACAGCTCCGACCCATTGTATAGGTGGTTGCAATGGCACAGGCCTCTTTGTTGGCTCGGGAGCGAATCATCAATAGTTGGTCCTGGAGAGTCTGTTGATAGCTAGCATCATTCATTTAGCGAATGTTGTTGGTATATATGTTGTAGAGTTACATAGACAGTTCCGACACAATTTGTGTTAGCACTCCATACGGTAGTTTACAAAATATAGAACCCCACCTCCGCAATGCGGAGAAATTGCTAGAGGTGTCACCGTATCGATAACTTCATTAGTGAATAAGAGATCTAGATGATCTAGAGGTATCAACTCCCTGCAGAATGGATAACAAAGATGTGGTCTATTTGATACTTTTCCAGAAAATATCTATCTATAGGGTAATGGAAATCCTCTCGGCTGCCCGTACCGGGCACATTTGACAGTTTTATCCGGCCCGGTTTAGGCGTGTCCCACCCGGAATGCGTACCGGACCATACCTATAGTTACACTATACAGCTAGCCGGCAGCGATTTCTCAGGCAGAGACAGTGGTATTACCATTACCATCACCGACCAACTTCGACGCCACCGGTGATTATGCAGCGCATCGTGAGGGGAACAAAGCGAAGAATTTGGAGAATGGATCCATGTCATAGTAATGTATGGTAATAATGCTGACTGATTGTCTTCTTCATTTCTGACTGGCTCATGCCACCGACCTTAGCCGGTCCCTCGCTTTAAAGGTAGAGGAGCTTTCCCCGCGCTGCCTTCGACTTGTTTCTTTTGCTTCATTTTCCATCTTTCCTTTCCCTTTTCTGCTTTGTGACTTTTCTTGATCTCATTGCTGGCAGTATCAAGAAACTTCAAAGATGCATTCCTCGTTGCTCCACCGCATGCGCGCGCGGCAAGTCGCAAAATGCCGTCCTCTTACTAGCAGCTTTGTTCGTCCCAGTAGGGCGATGGGCACGTACGCTACTTTCAAGGTGCCTCGCATCGACAATGAACCTAACGTGAGTTGTTCGACCCTTGTGCACTCGAGAAATGGATTCTGACGTCAATAGAAACACTATGCCCCTGGCTCGCCTGATCGCAAAGCTCTGGAAGATGCCCTGGCCAAGGCCAAACAGGCTGCTCCTCTTAACGTACCGCTTGTGATTGCAGGCAAGGAGGTTGGTTTTATCAAGTGAACAATTCTACTAAATGAAGAGACTGACAATTCCCAGATCAAGAGCTCGCAAACCTTCACACAGTCCAACCCTGCCTCTCGTGCCCCGGTGGCCACCTACTCCAACGCCACCGCCTCCGATGTTCAGGCGGCTATTGACGCAGCGCTGGAGGCTCGCAAGTCATGGGCCGCTACATCGTTCGCAGACCGTGCGAGCGTCTTCCTCAAGGCTGCCGATCTTATCTCGACCAAGTACCGCTATGACATTATGGCCTTGACCATGCACGGACAGGGCAAGAACGCCTGGCAGGCGGAGATTGATGCTGCCGCTGAGCTGTGCGATTTCTTCCGGTTCGGCGTCAAGTACGCTGAGGACATGTACGCTCAGCAGCCTGTTCATCACGCTCCTGGAGTCTGGAAGTAAGTTACTTTGCATATGCGATCAAGGATGACAATGGCTAACTAGCGCAGCCGCGTTGAATACCGCCCCCTCGAAGGTTTCGTCTACGCCATCAGCCCCTTCAACTTCACTGCCATCGGTGGTAATCTGGCCGGCGCTCCTGCTCTGATGGGTAACGTCGTCGTCTGGAAGCCGTCTCCCGCTGCCATCGCGTCCAACTGGCTGGTTCACCAGATCCTTTTGGAGGCCGGACTGCCCAAGAACGTCATCCAGTTCGTCCCCGGCGATGCCGAAGAAGTCACCAACACTGTACTCAACCACCGCGAATTCGCTGCCCTTCATTTCACCGGAAGCACCGCCGTATTCCGGTCCCTGTACGGAAAGATCGCTCAGGGCGTCGCCGAGGGCAAATACCGCAGCTACCCTCGCATTGTCGGCGAGACCGGTGGCAAGAACTTCCACCTCATCCACAAGTCTGCGGACGTCCGCAACGCCGCCGTGCAGACCGTCCGCGGAGCCTTTGAGTTCCAGGGACAGAAGTGCAGCGCCACCTCCCGCGCGTACGTCGCATCCTCCATCGCCGATCAGTTCCTCGAGCAGGTTGTGTCCGAAACAAAGCAGCTCAAGATCGGCGAGCCCTCCGACTTCACCAACTTCTGCGGCCCCGTCATCCACGAAGCCTCCTTCAACAAGCTCGCCCAGGTCATCGAGAAGGCCAAGAACGACTCTGAACTCGAGCTCCTCGTCGGCGGTACCTACGACTCCTCCAAGGGCTGGTACATCCAGCCCACCGTCTACCACACCTCGAACCCCGACCACCCTCTCCTCTCCCGCGAGCTCTTCGGCCCCATCCTGGTTGTGCACACCTACAACGACGCCACAGAGGCCAACTTCTCCAAGATCTGCGAGAAGATTGACCAGACCGGTGAGTACGGTCTCACCGGCTCCGTCTTCGCGCAGGACCGCGAGGCCGTCCGGGTTGCGGAGGATGCTCTCCGCAGCACCGCGGGCAACTTCTACATCAACTGCAAGAGCACCGGTGCCGTTGTCGGCCAGCAGCCCTTCGGCGGTGCCCGTGCAAGCGGCACCAACGATAAGGCCGGCAGTGGAAACTTGCTCTCGCGGTTCGTCAGCTTGCGCTCGATCAAGGAGGAATTCGTTCCTTCTTACAAGGTCGAGTACCCCAGCAATGCGTAAGCTGGGCATGACATGTGCTTGTCAGGGATCGGATTTGGTTCGGTGATCATTATTCCCCATATGTTGATGTATTGATGCATTTTACTTTGGTTTGTTTGCATTGACTGGCGTTTCGCATTACGGATGCATGACCTAAAATTTGAAGTTTCTTGACACCCGAATGAATATATTCATATTTTACTTGAATGAGTCTATGATTGCATTCAATGACAAAATCCTTAACTATTTATCATCTGAGCAATTCTTCAAGAGCTTCTGCATACTCTCCATTGCATTCTTCGCGTACGGAATCATATCGTACTTCTTCCCCTTCCCCTGATTCCCCCCGTCAAAGATCTCCATCGAAAACCAACCCCGGAACCCGGTCTTGAGCACCGCCCGCGCCACCTCCTCGATGGGCAGGTACCCACCGTCATACGGCATAGGCCGGAAATCATGGCTCCAGCGCCCCCGCGGCCGAAGCCCATTGATCACCTTATCCTCGATCGGCCGGGTGGGCTTATACGCGTCTGAAATCTGCAGCAGATAGATCTTCTCCGGCGGGATAGATTTCGCCAGCTCATCCATGCTCGACGCGAAGCGCCGGTTCAGCTCGTCGAGGTCCATGTCGTCTATCCGGCCGGAGATGGTCCGGGGATCGCCCCACTCGGACCCTGCGGTCTGGAAGGTATCCAGGCACAGGCCGATGTTGGGGCGGTCGACTGCCTTGACGATTTCCCAGACGTCTTTCCAGGTGGGGGCGTGGGTGGACCAGCACCAGTTCTCGTAGGCGAGGCGCATGTTGCATTTTGCGAGCAGGTCGGCCAGTTCGCGGAGGTCGGAGACGATCTGGTTGCGGTCCGTGGTGATTTTCTCGGCGGGGGCGTCTGTTGAGCCGACCTTTTGTCATTATTGTCATTAGCTTGGGTTGCACGGTTGCAGTAGAGCTAATCTGAGGACTGGAGTGGCGTACCTGCAGCAAATCCGTCCCGACAACTTTCATAATCTCGATCCATCCGTTGACTCGAGTGAAAGCATCCTGGCGCTCCAGCGACCCGCGCGGCCAGCCCTCGAAGTTCGCAAACGGCTGTAGCATCATCACTTTGAGATTGTTGGCGTCGCAGAGCTTTCGGATCTCACCAGCTACAGAGATGATCTCGGCGAAGTTCTCCGAGGCGACTTGGTGGCCGAGGGTTCGTGAGCCATAGTCGATGATATCGGGGAATGATAGCTCGATGCCTGTGAAGCCGGCTTTGCTGATAGCTTCAAGTTTCCGGGGGAGGGTATCGGCATTGCTGCTGCCGATCGAGCAGGTGGCATATGACAGAGGGATGTTGCGAAGGGATTCGTATGTGATAGTTGGGGCTGATGCGATCATGGTGTTTCTTGTGGCCAGTGTTGTATATGTTGTTGGATGCGATTAGAGATGCAGAATAGCAATTGGACCGGCCAGATGCAAATCACCGGAAGGAAGTCAATACAAAATCATAAGTAGAATAATGCAAATCAGGACAGCATTGATAAGTTGATATCATGTGTTCCTGGAATCGAAGCTGTCCGAGGCGATGATGTAACCATGAGATCGGCCGAATTAGGGCAAAAGAACATCCCTTCAGGACATCCGGCAACGTCGGAGTCGGTTTCCGACGCATTGACAATCCACATACGGAGAAAATGACATTGTGCATTATGGACTTTCTGATATCGAATCAGACCACATATTAGAACTAGCTTTCTCCTCGGAGAGGCACCGATGACGTCTCCTCCGCCGTGATGTAATTACAGCGTACGTTTCTTCAGGCCGGATGCGCTGTCCGATTGCCACTGGATGTTCGGTCAATAAGAGATGTTGGTCCATGTAAAGTAGTCGATCTCTTCTATCTTCATTTTCTCAGTGCTCTGACTGGAATTTTCTTTAAACCAGCCTTGTATAGAACGCAGATTGACAAATTGAGAAGTATACTGCGAACGCCATCATGCCATCATCACAAGACCCAATTCAGAGATTCAAGCGCATCGGCATTGTAGGAGCGGGGAATATGGGCTCGATGATGACCTTTGCCTTCTCCGAGCTGGGTTGCGATGTCTCGGTATGGGACGTGGATCCGAAGAATGTCGATTCGGTGATGAAGTTCGCCAAAGATGCACAGCATCTGAAGGGCAAGATCGACGGGTACTACAACATCGACGAGTTTACTAAGAGCCTGGAGGGCAAGGCCGAGCGGAAATTATTCCTCTTTTCCATCACACATGGACATCCGGCAGACTCCGTACTAGGGATGATCAAGCATGATCTGAAGGCCGGCGACATCATCCTCGACGGAGGAAATGAGAACTACCGACGGACAGAGAGAAGACAGAGAGAATGCGCTGGGATCGGGGTTCACTGGATTGGAATGGGTGTCTCTGGAGGTTACCAGTCCGCTCGACACGGGCCCAGCTTGTCGCCTGGTGGAGATGCAAATGCACTCGAGCTCGTCATGCCGCTTCTGGAGCTCTACTCCGCCAAAGATCGCAAGACAGGCAAGCCATGTGTCACACGAATTGGCCCTGCAGGCTCGGGACACTACGTCAAGATGGTTCACAACGGTATTGAAGGAGGCATGCTCTCGACCCTCGCGGAGGCATGGTCAATCCTCCACAACGGGCTAGGTCTCAACTATGATGAGATCGGCGATCTCTTCTCCAAGTGGAATTCAGAGGGCGAGCTCAAGAACAATTATCTCCTTCAAATCGGCGCAGATATGTTGCACAGGAAGAAGACACCTCAGGGTGACTACCACGGCGAAGGCGCTAGCAAAGATGACGGCTATGTACTTGACGATGTGCTTGACAAGGTGGTCCAAGACGATGACAACACCGAGGGAACTCCGTACTGGTCGATTATGGAGTCGGCTGAACGTCACGTCTCGGCACCCACTCTTGCCACAGCGCACTACCTGCGTGTGGCCAGCGGGAATCGTGAAGAGAGAGTCCGAGTCGCGAAGAAGCTTCATATCCCCAGCCCCAAGCCAATTGAGACGATCAAAGATCGCGGTGCGTTCATTGAGAACCTGCGCCGAGCAGTGTACTGCTCCTTCTTGGCATCATTCTGCCAGGGTCTCGAATTGATATCGCGCGCTTCCGAGGACGAAAAATGGGACATTGATCTCGGCAGGTGCCTTCAGATATGGCGAGCCGGTTGCATTATCCAGTCCGAAGCCATTGCAGACCTTCTTCAGCCCGCCCTGACATCCAACAAGCGACTCAGCAATATGAAATTCGTGGACGAGGTTGCCCGAGAACTGCACAAGAATTTTGATGCCCTCAAAGAGATTGTGATTGAAGGAATCCTGTCTGATCAGTACATGCCGGCTTTGTCTGCCACGTTAGAGTACTTGAAGTATGAAGGAGGAACGATGCTGCCGACCAAATTTATGGAGGCGCAGATGGACTACTTTGGCGCTCATGCGTACAACAAGCCCGGTGTGCCAGGTGAAGATCCAGGTCCAGTCCGAAAGGGGCCCCATCATTATGAATGGAAGCCAGCATAAAGTCTCCCGTTGGCGCCCGCTTTGATTTCAACTGCGTTGTTATACATTGCATCTGTGCATATGCAGGACGAATGGAAATCTGTAGATGCCTTTCATCGTTTAGTTTCCTCATGGATTTGCATAAGACCGAGCTCTGTAGGCCCTGTATATCGACCGTCAACCATGGAGAGCTAGCTGTAGCTCATCGCTTTGAACTAAGATGCCTCGTCAACCATAAAAAGGGAAATGGCAGATCGTCCCGATTGATGCCTGTCGATGCCTGTTGATGCCTACTCATGCCTACTGGTGCCTCGGTGCCTGGGATCGGCCCCACGTGGGGTCGCGATAAGCGGATTGCCCAATCGGGATGACGACCCCGCCAAGGGGCAGAAGTTTTCAAGTCCGAATATCTCTCTTAGCAGTAGTAAGCTGCGTCTATATCAGTCCTCTCTGGCTGCATTTTATGCTTGGATTCTCCTCTCTTCGCCGATACCTGTCAAGCTTCACCACAAGACCTCTCCGAAGAATCGAGTCTACAAAGCAGCTAGCAAGAAGAATGGCCGATCTCCCCAATACCTACAACGGTGAGTGCATCGTGCTATCACAAACCCGCAAGTTGCAAAGACCAATCTAATCGTTAATAAATATAGAGCCTGTCCGTATCGCCGTTATTGGTGGTACTGGTCTGCGCGAGCTCCCCGGCTTCACTCAGGTTGCGTCGTTGTCGATCACCACGCCCTGGGGCAACCCCTCCTCTCCGATCACGATCCTGCACCACAACTGCTCTCACAACAACAAGACCGTTGCCGTCGCTTTCCTCAGCCGACACGGTGCTCACCACCAGATTGCACCTCATGAGGTCCCAGCGCGCGCCAACATTGCTGCTCTGCGCTCGATTGGCGTCCGCACCATCATCGCCTTCTCCGCCGTCGGTAGCTTGCAGGAGGAAATCAAGCCCCGCGATTTCGTCATTCCCGACCAGGTCATTGATCGCACCAAGGGTGTGCGCCCATGGACTTTCTTCGAGGGAGGTGTGGTCGCGCACGTTCCGTTCGGCGACCCTTTCGACGAGGGTGTCGCGAAGGTTGTGCGAGCCTGCGGTCACAGCCTGGAGGGCGAGGGTGTCGTTCTTCACGACCGGGGTACTTTGATTTGCATGGGTACGTCATTCGTGCTCTGTTGTCCTTGATTTTACGTCTCCGCTGATTATGGCTGACCGTCTTTCAATGACAGAGGGACCTCAATTCTCTACTCGCGCCGAGAGCAACCTTTACCGCTCCTGGGGCGGCAGCGTCATCAACATGTCGTGTCTGCCTGAGGCTAAGCTGGCTCGTGAGGCTGAGATCGCCTACCAGATGATTTGCATGTCCACCGACTATGACTGCTGGCACGAGTCGACGGCCGATGTCACTGTGGAGATGGTCATGGGCCACATGAAGGCCAATGCCCAGAATGCCAGACGCTTTGTCACAGCCGTCCTCGACGCTCTGGCCAGCGATGAGCACGCCGACCTCGTCCAAGCCAAGCACGTTGAGGGCTCCATCAAGTTTGGTCTCAGCACCGCCCAGGCCAACTGGAGCCCTGAGGCTCGGGAGAAGCTGGAATGGCTTTTCCCTGGTTACTGGAACTAGGCTTTCGAATTTCTCTTTCTGAGATGATAGATACGATGCTTCAACACATTGATATTATGTAGATCTACTGCTCTCTGGCATAGACCGTTTATACTTGGTTACGAACTTATGAGGATTGAACTTTTATATTGTGGTACATATCTTTCGTGTTAGAAAAGATGTATTTACTGGAAACAGTCTGGACTGTTCCCAACCCATTGGAACCTCCACGCGATAACCAGCAACCATGAACTTCCATTGCATTCTACGGACTGAGAAGCGATGTATGTACACCTATTAATAGGCCTAAGCTTTACTCGCTATCTCTCTGTATTAGCTACTACACATATTTTATGCAATCATGATAGCAGCTCTGATCGGCCCCTCAATTAACAGTTTAACCGCTTAACCGGCACCGTGCAGCATACTCCACACCTCGATCTCGTATTATTGATTCGACTGATGGGCCTTTCCTACTATATACCTGATTATTCTGGATACTGTCGATCTATATACATGCTAATAGCGGGAAGACTTGGCATTCCAATCCCCAGCAGCGGAGGGTCGAGCACGTGGGTCTTAGTTCCTGAACGCCAAGGCAGCCAAGCACTTGAGTTTCAGCCAGAGGTAAAGCTTCGTGGTCCTGCATGCTTTGGCTTCTGTCTGCTATTTGTCGCCGGTGTAATGAGCATTCCAAGTCCAGAATGACGTTTACGCAGTTGTACTCTCGAATGACAAGGTCTCCTTTGATAACGATGCCGTTTGTCTTGACATTACGCCCTTGGCCGCTGCTTCCTGGCCGTGCAATCGTCGGTTGCCCAAGACAGGGAATGCAAACGATCCGGAGCACTCCTTGCTATCTCATCTCAATATGGGTACTATAAATTGGTCCTCGTTCAGGCTGTCTTCTCTAGTCTCCTCGGAGCAGAGAATCTCTCAGAAACTGGCAAAGTCACCATGTGGTACTCGTTGTCCCTTCTGTTGTTGACGGCCTCGACTGCCACCGCTAGCTATGCGGGCAATCTCAACTACCGCAGTCCCTCTTACAACCACCCTGAACTGGGGGTTTCGATCCGCAAGGTAGCCAAGCGGGGTGAGCCGACATCGGCCTTTGATCCTGCTAAATTGAACTTTACCCACGGCGTGGCTTCAGGTGATCCCTATGCTGAGTCCGTCATCTTGTGGACACGATGTGCTCCCAGCTTTGATGATGTCAATGACAACAGTACTACATCGGGACTGGTTCCTCTGTACAA